TTCCTCGTCATCGAATTCGTAGTTATATCATGTTTTGTTTTTGAATATTAGATGAAGTTAATAATATTTGGCTGTTTCTTTTCAATATTATCAATGTGTGTCAATAAACTTGACATCAAGACATAGTTTGTAATTCACATTTTTCATATCAACTAAGTTTTGATTTCTTCGCTTCAAAAGGAAATTTGTAAATAAATTCTCAATCTTCACTTATATCAGGGATTTCAACAGTAAAAAAAAACATCCTGAAATCCTGTGGAGCAGACTAAGATCATGTAGCATGAGTAAATCCAATTTTTGGGTTTGGGGTTCACAATGAGCCCCCACAACATATTTGAAAATTAGGAGCTCTCATAGTAGTTCTGAGCATGTTTGGGGCATAGTAGTTCTGAGCATGTTTGGGGCATAGTAGTTCTGAGCATGTTTGGGGCATAGTAGTTCTGAGCATGTTTGGGGCATAGTAGTTCTGAGCATGTTTGGGGCACAAAATATGAATATTTTCAAGTGCATTGTATCCTTCAAAAAATCCACTCAGTACAGCAGTTATCTATTCCGGTTCATCACCCATGAACAATAAATAATCGATCATCGCATTATCTAAGTTAGTAAATTACCCTATTATCGACCACATGAAACCATCCAAGTACCTGCCTAAACTTGAAAATTTTCATCTTTCCGAGTAAAAGTATTCCTTTCAGTTCAAAGCATTTTTCATCTCAAAGATATTTACATTACGACATGTGGCTAGACTAGCTCTGTGCAGCTGTCAAAATGTGACCGATTGGCTCAATGATGAAATAAATCCAACAGTGTTTTCACCCAAGATTCATAGCTCATTTTAGAATAAATGGCTCGAAATATCTAATAAATATGTCAACATACGAAAAGAAGGTGGTCTACTGGTCATGTTTTTGAAGTTGGAAATGGAATTATAAAGATGGATTTTGACATATTCTATTTCAACTTTACCTGACAAATTGCTGTCTTCACCACATGGAGGCAGTCTTAGCTATACTGCACAGCACATGTGCAGTGGAATGTTCCGTGGAGAGCAGCCAATGAGGGAGCTGTATTGTAATTACACGTTGGACCCTTTGTTCACAAAACATCATGGTAGCCTAGGCTTTCGCCCCCAATATTTTTAAACCAGATTTACATGAAGCACAGAAAATGACAAAGAATAACTCTGAAATCCAAGAATCTGGGAAAAATTGACATTCTTGTTTTCAGTATCACGTGGTACTCCTTCACCCCAAATTTATAGCCTCCCAGTTTTCACTCCATTGTATTATGTGATACTCCTTCACCCCAAAGTTATAGCCTCCCAGTTTTCACTCCATTGTATTATGAGATACTCCTTCACTCCAAATTTATAGCCTCTCAGTTTTCACTCCATTGTATTATGTGATACTCCTTCACTCCAAATTTATAGCCTCCCGGTTTTCACTCCATTGTATTATGTGATACTCCTTCACTCCAAATTTATAGCCTCCCAGTTTTCACTCCATTGTATTATGTGATACTCCTTCACTCCAAATTGCCCATTTTATTCTTTCTACCCCTATACGATCGTAAGTTTAACACAAACTATTCACTTATAATATAAGTATTGCTAAGACATAATCCACATTTTTAGCCACCAACCTTCTTGCTTTACTTAGATATGAATCAGAAAGTTAAACCCACATGACAAACTCTCATATCATACTTTGTCTTTAATCATTCTATATGACATTTGGTATTGGATTATTTATAATCAATAGAACTCCTTATACAGCTAGCTCACTCTGATGACCATTGATGAATTATTTAGTCTATAGTTTCATTCTTTATCATCATCAAGTCAAGACGACCAGCCAAAGGAATTATTTTAACTCATTTATACTTCAATTAAAAAGCCAGTTAAATTATACTAGTTATGGGACATTGTATTATTTGTTTGTTTAGAATTATTTAGTCTATAGTTTCATTCTTTATCATCATCAAGTCAAGATGACCAGCCAAAGGAATTATTTTAACTCATTTATAGTTTAATTAAAAAGCCAGTTAAATTATACTAGTTATGGGACATAGAATTATTTAGTCTACAGTTTCATTCTTTATCATCATCAAGTCAAGATGACCAGCCAAAGGAATTATTTTAACTCATTTATAGTTTAATTAAAAAGCCAGTTAAATTATACTAGTTATGGGACATTTGTTTGTGTCACTATTTTGTGTTGTAAGTTGCATATTTGAAATAATTAAAAATTAAGTACTAACAACAACCCTACCAAAAAGTAGAATTAACTTTTATTCAGATTTTGAGAGCAAAAAAAGTATAAGACCCCCCCCATGTAAGTACTAAAGTTCTTATGGATGCTTTTAGTGTTATAAAAGTAACTAAAACATAAAAATTAGAAAGTTATTAAGTTCAACAGGAAAACAAAATGAAAACAACAACAATTTGAAAAAAACATTAAAACAATTAAATCAGAGGTTAGAAAACAGAAGATATCATGAAAATAACTGTAACTGTTAGTTGTCTGTTAAAATCTAGTCATTGTTCCTTTATGACACAGTACACAGTTTTTATGTTTGAAATTTATGTGTTTCACATAAAAGTTACTAATGTAAATAAACCTGTAAGAATGAAAATGCAGAGATGGCTTATATAATACCAGCAGACTGTAAAAAAAGGAATACCAAATTTAAGTAGTTCCAAAGAAATTTCATTATTTTTACAGTGTATACTGGTACTTATATAGTATTTTTTCCTGCAATAAGCATGAGGAAAGTCAAAGTACAGTTCTTCTGTACAATAGTACTTTTTAACATCAGTAGTTACAATTCGTGATGAATGGTTAAGACTATAATGTATATGAAAGATCAGTTCTTTTTCAACACCAAATTATTCAAACTACTGAAGTTTTTCTGAAAACAGTTTACCATTGATTATAAATACATTTTAAATAAAAACTACAATTTTTAAAAACACCAAACAAATGTAAAGTCTAGAATTAACCTAGGTTTACACCCAACATTGGGTTTGTAAATGAAAAAGATGTATAAAACAGAATCAGGACTGACGTTATATTTCAAACATACCAGGAGGTATATTAGTAGTATCCATTGCTTGATGACTGCTCTCACTTCCAGGCTGACTATCATCATGGGGACTGTAGGCTGGGGGAGGAGTTTCAGCTATTTTGGAAATGATAAAAATTCAAAATTAACAAGTTCCTCTTTTCAACTAACGAGTTAACCTCAAACAAATCACTTTCAAATTTATGAAAAACAAATTCAAATTTGTTAAATGTTAATCAGTAAGACACTGAAGCACCGATTTACAATTCTACACATAAACAATTCCCAAATTTGTTAATTGTTAATCAGTAAGACACTGAAGCACCGATTTACAATTCTACACATAAACAATTCCCAAATTTGTTAATTGTTAATCAGTAAGACACTGAAGCACCGATTTACAATTCTACGCGTAAGCAATCCCCAAATTTGTTAATCAGTAAGACACTGAAGCACCGATTTACAATTCTACACGT